ATGCAGGCTGATTAGTAAATTTTTTGCGTAAAACTAATCTGGTATAACTAAAGAGATTTCAACATACCAGCATTCAGAAGAGGCAGGATGAAGAAGAAATTGAGGGAGAGACCAACCAAATCATTTACTGTTTCTGAACTAATTGCCCACACAGGATCTCCCTGCATTATATATCAAAATATTTTCAATCGTTAAATATCCGCGTGTCAGCCTAAATACTTTTTATTCATTTTTGTCATTATAAACCACACATATTGATGTCACACTTAACTTCGAAAATTAGTCGATTTGACTCTCGAAAACAAGCTAAATATGACAATTATTTCGAAACGGAATAAATACTGTAATATGAAATGGGAGAGATGAATTACATACAGGTGCATAAGGAAGTAAAAAGAGCCACAATACATAAACGCCTTCTGCGGTCCACAGTATAGCCTGTGTTAATTTCCTCAATTTATCATCCCTTTCAATAATTGAATCCACTCCTCCGTCACCGCCACCGCCATCACCAGCTCTAGTGGTAAAAATCGGTCTCCAGCGACCTAATTGTATACTCTTCTTCACTTTAAGCTTCAACCCTAACCGTCCACTTGTCTCGGACAATTTCACATTTCGTCCAAATGCCGAATTATACTCCTGTCTGCCATGGATAACAGATTGATTTCTGTATATGAAAGTCTTAGTGCATAGTAGAGTTGCCGCCGGCATTTCCGAAGTTCGCCGGAAAATGGCTTCTGTAAAATGCTCTGGACCGGAGTTGCTAAGTGAAGTGAGATAGAACTTTCCGTTCTAGAGGATGCAGAGGTGGGCCCGTAGGACACGTGGTGCCTAACTGCACACGTAGATACCTTTTTAAAAAAAATATTTATTCCATTTATTAGTGATATTTCATACTCCCTCCGTCCCTTTTTAGTTGTCCACTTTAGAAATGGCACACAGATTAAGGCAACAATGATTAGCACAGTGAAGTTACAATTTTACCCTTATGACAACTTTTCACTTCAAAATTACAACCACTTATTTGAATTCAAGTGAAATAAATTGGAGGGAAACAACATACACTTTTACAATTTTCAAGAAGTGTAAATAAGGGTATAATAGGAAAAAATTTGTTGTCCTTTCTTGATTTGTCAAAATGGACAACTAAATAGGGACAACCAAAAAAGGAAATATGGACAAGTAAATAGGGACGGAGGGAGTATTAATTGTGTCTTCTCCATCCACCCACCCAATCTTTCGTACTTTCTTTCTTCTAATTTATGTGATACTTTTCATTTTTTGAGAGTCAAACAATTTATGTTTGATTAGAAATTTGTATGGAATTTTTAAATTTTTTGAAATGAAATTTATATATTTGTAAATTACGTAAAAAATACTACAAGTCACAATAATTGACTATTCAAAATAATTAAAAGTTATATGATAAATTTAAGATCAAAGATAGACTTGTTTGAATTTTGAAATTTAAAAAGTGTCACATAAATTGAAACGGAGAAAATAATATTTATTTAGATTAAATAAAAAAAAATTACGAGACCCACATATTTTCTTTAAAAAATATAATTATGAAAATATTTTCTTTCATATCTAACCAATCCCACGTACCATAGGTGAGCCAAATCCAAAAAAAATTACTCTAATTAATTGATGTCTCACTTAAATTATACCACATGTCAGTCTAATAAATTTGATCCTCTTGATATTGAATAGGCACATGTTGAATAGAGCAATTAGGTACTTGAGGAGTTGAGGTTGTCAGCCAAATTATAATTGTTGGTGTGAAGGATAATATCAAATAGTAGTGAGATTAAATTATAGTACCACTTAATTTGTTGTTTGGGTGGTAAGTCTGGGATAACTTATTTCGGAATTAAGAATTAGTATCGGGATCAGTTATCTCTCTCCTTGGGTGGTGTAGTAATCTCGGAATAAAATAAGTAAATGACAAAAGTGTCTCTTTAAACCCTTTTTATACATCACTTTTTAAATTCATGAAGGGTATTTTTGTAAACAAATAAATTATTCTTAAAATTTATTATTTTAAATACAACAAACCAAACATTCAATAAAAAATAATCTTATCATAACTTATCCATCACAATTAATCTCATCATAACTTGAATTCAAACTAAACGGCTTTAAGTTTAATAAATTGAGTGCTCACTTATAAAAGACTACAAGTTCTCAATATTTTTTCATCATTTTCTTTTCACAACTTATAATTGTCATTCTGAGAATAAAGAAATATGGGTCTAAAAGGTAAGTTAATTACTTCAATAGAAGTGAAGTGTGAAGGACACTCGATTCATGATATTCTTCATACCAATATGCATCATGTACCCACTATAAGTCGTTCTATCAACCAATTTGAGATTCATAAAAATGAAATCATAAAAGTTGGTTTGATTATTAGCTGGAATTATGACGAAGGTAATGCACATTTTTCAACTCTCTCTCTCACACTCACAATATGATGTTTGATTACCATGCATATATATTCCAAGGGAAGCCTTTTGCTTCAAGAAATCTTAATTTAAATTATCTTTATTAAATTATCTTTATTTCAAAATTTATTTCATCTGCTCCAACTAACACTAAGACAATATTTATCACTCATAATATTTAGTTACTCAATATTCGTCAAATTAAAAATATTCTATGATTTCTTAATATTATTATTAGTCTTTAATAGTGTATGCTTTAGAAGATATACCATTCCACCAATTAAATACTAAAAAATATTTTTGCAGAAAAAGACTTTTTTGCTTAGAATATTACTTTTTTTTTTACCAAATATAAATAATTAAATCAAAATTATAATTTTTCTTAATAATTCTTATATTCTCCAGACCTCCTCAATGTCAGCTCTTCTTTTTCGAGATTTTAAAGATAATTTAATTCATAAAAAAATAGAAAATTCAAATATTAATGAGCATTAAATAATTTTTTAAGTAAATGAGAATGAAAAACGAGGAAATTTTTTAAATAAGATAAAATATTATTTTGTAAATATTTAAGTCTTTCATGAGGAATTGAGCTGTTGACCTAGGAGTAACATCTCTTGTATTTTTTATCATATAATGATTATAGGTGGACAAAAAAAAAATTCCAAACAAATTATTGGAGCCATCGATCCTCACAAGAAATTAATCCGTTGGAAATTCATTGAAGGAGATGTATAGTTCTTTTACTATTATAACATCTTGTGAACCTCAGTGGATTACATGGACAATTGAGTACGAAAAGAAAACTGAAAACACCCCAAAACCCCTCAATGAATTGGGTCTTATACTTAACTTGAACAAGGATATGGAAGATCACCTTCTCAAGAATTAATATATATATATATATATATGTGTGTGTGTGTGTGTGGTTGTATGATGACACAAGTACAGGAAATGTACCAAGACTAATAAGTTTTATCTATCGTGTGAAATAAATAATATTGTGTTTGAAATATATTGTATATGTCAATCTCTTTCTATGGATATATTTTCAATAGTCAGTAGTATATGTAAGATATTGCACTTTGTTATAATAATCAAAGCCCACTTTTATTATTTTTAAAAGCTTCAATTTATGTTTGATACCTTGTATTAGTCAACAATGCATCATTTGGAATTTCTTAGAGAAAATAAAGTCTTCAACAATTGAGATACTGGTGTGTTCGATTTGGACGGAAAAAATTGAAAAATATTATCACTAAGAAAGTAAGTTCGTTAAAAATAAATAAAATGGCTTTTCTAATGAAAGTATAGAAACTAAATTAAAGTCTGCAAGTGACATTTTACATTGATTGTTTCTTCTCCACCCTCTAACACACTTGTTGGAAGGTATGCGTCCACCAGTGATCACAGGACCAGGTCCCCAAACAGAATATAAGTGCCGAAAATAAATAACTCAAAGTAAAACAGGCACAAGCGTTTTTACGTGGAAACCTCCTTACTCAAGAGAGTAAAATCACGACCTGTCACACAGAGTTTTCAACTGCTTTCACTAATCACAAGCAAAAGTGACTACAGATTTCAACTTACAACAATGAGACTAAACTCATAATCTCACACTAAGTAATACTCCTATTACTTACTGAGCCAAAGCAATGCATTCATTGCCCACTATATTAACTAACATTAATTAATATAGACTTCAAACCATAAGACACAAAGTTAACTCTAACAATGTTCTTACACTCACTACACACAAGAGTTTGAAACGGTTCTTATAATAGTGAAACGAATCCTACAAGTTTAGCACAGTACGAGCATTCAAAACAACAACACGCTGATTACACTTCTTCAGTTGATCAGGTCCCTTGTTGTATCTGTATTTTGAAGCTTGGTTTCTTGGAAAGACTCACTCGCTCACTTTGAATCAATGAATCATAAAATTGTTTGTTTCTTTGAGTATATCAATTAAGAAGAATTGTTGACCAATGGACAAACAACCTCGTCCGCTCCTATTGGTGAAGTACACTGACTTGCTTCACCAACCGCCTGACCTGACAGTTTTACAATTGTGCCCCTTTCTTAACCTGGACGATACTAACTCTGTCAGGGACCTGGTCCCGACAGTTATGAGGATCATCAAAACATCTTAAATACAACAATACCTCATCTTTATCCCACCACTTGTAGCCCTCATCTCCACCATGTTATTTGTCTAGATTATATACAAACATTTTATGATAATATTTTTTGTTTATTACCAAACACAAATAAGTAAGAGATCCACTTATTTTTTTTAAAAAACTTTTATGAAAATATTTTCTTCATACCTAACACAGCTTAGGTACTGAAGGTGAGCCAAATCCTAAGAAAATTAATTAATTGAGTGTCCACTAATTATAGCACATGTCAAATCTAATAAATCTGATCCTCTTGATTATTGAATAGGCACATGTTAAAATTTCAAATTTGGGAAAATGGAGAAATTAGGTACTCGAGGTGATCAGCCAAATCCTAAAAGTTTAATAAATTGAGGGTTCACTTATAATCTAAAAGATTATTAGTTCTCGATATTTTTTCACCATTTTCTTTTCACAACTTATAATTGTCACTTTGAGAAAAAAGAAATATGGGCCTAAAAGGTAAGTTAATTGCTTCAATAGAAGTAAAGTGTGGAGGACACTTGATTCATGATATTTTTCACACCAATGCGCATCATGTACCCACTATAAGTCGTGCTTTCAATCGATTTGAGATTCATGAAGGTGAAATCGTAAAAATTGGTTCAATTATTAGCTGGAATTATAATGACGGTAACACACATTTTTCGACTCTTTCTCTCCCTCTCTATCACTCACACAATATGATTTACTTGCATCAATTTTCTATATTTAGATGTATTTGGTAATATAAAAGTTATTTTTCATGAAATTAAAATAATTTTCATGAAAAAGTTATTTAATGATGTTCAACTACAATTTATATTCCAAGGAATGCCTTTTGCTTTAAGAAAGGAAAAGAACTTTCTTTCACTTGTGTGGGAAGTAATATCTTAGTTTTAAAATTTTATTTTATCTGCTCCAACTAACACAGAGACATTATTTATTAATATTTAGTTATTTAAAAGGTTCTTCAAATTAAAATAATCTGTGATTTCTTAATATTATTATTAGTCTTTAATAGTGTATGTTTTAGGTAATATATATCATTCCACCAATTAAATACTACAAGATATATTTTGTAGAAAAAGACTTTTTCCGTGGAATATTACTTTTGTTATATCAAACATAAATAATAAAATCAAAATTATAATTTTCCCTAATAATTCTCATATCCTCCACAATGTTAGCACTTCTTTTTCGAGATTTTTAAAGATAACTCCATTCATGAAAAGTAGAAAATTCAAATATTCATGAGCATTAAATATTTTTTGAAGAAAATGAGAATGAAAAACGAGGAAAAATTTTAAATAAGATAAAAATTATTATTTTGTAAATGTTTAAGTCTTTCATGAGGATTAGAGCAATTGAACTAAGAGTAACACATCTCTCGTATTTTTTTTATTATAATGATTATAGGTGGACAAAACAAGTTTACAAAGCAAATTATTGAAGACATCGATCCTCATAAGAAATCAATCCGTTGGAAAATCATTGGAGGAGATGTGTTGGAGATGTATAATTCTTTTACTATTGCAGTATCTTGTGAACCTCAATGGGTAACATGGACAATTGAGTACGAAAAGAAAACCGAAGATACTCCAGAACCCCTCATTGAATTGGGTATTATCCTCGACTTAAACAAGGATATAGAGGGTCACCTTGTCAAGAATTAAAAGCTCTATCTATCTTTTGTGTGTGTGTGTTTACACACATACATATCTATGTGTGTTTATATGATGAATAATTGACAATATTGGCAAGTTTTAGCCGTCTTGTAAAATAAATAATATTGTGTTTGAATAATATATTTTATAACAACTCATAAATAACTTCAAAACACAATAAAAATTACACGTACTATTTTTTATTTTATTTTTGGTAATTCCTCAATAATACCTCCATCTATATATTTTTTAGCAAATAAAAAATTCACTCTCAATCCATTTATTCAACACTACCAAAAATAAATAAAATTAAAATTACCTTATAACTAATCTAATTCTAAATATTTTTTACACTGTCTGTACAAATATAACATAACCCAATTCAATAGTCTTCTTTGTTACCGTCTCGAGTCTTAAATCATAAACCATGAACCCTGATCGTTCTCCAGTTATGATCGACCTAGTTTTGCTTTTATTAAGTCGCGGGTTCTGTTTGTTTATTTTATTTTTTATTATTGTGAAATGGATTTTTGCACCATCACCAGCAGCTGCAGCAATAGCAATAGGTTCAACTACAAGTTCAATGCCAATAATTTTTTTAGGTGTAATTATTATTGTTCTTGTGACTTTTTGGTGCTAAAATTAATGATAATTATGTTAATCATAACTTCTTTAGTAATAATCAGATTGTTTTTGAGATGTTATAGAACAAGTTAGGTTTTTTTTTTTTTTTACAAAAAGAATTGTTTAGTTAATTAATTATCTGCATGCATGCAGACTATAGCTAGTATTATTGTTGGAATATTTCTATAAGTTTTTTTCTATGAAATAAACTTTATTTCTTTTTTGGTATATAGTTAATGCACTTCATGTTGTGTTGTTTATTTATAGTGTTTGATTATGTGGATGTGTTTTTTTGTGGCATAAATATTTACTAGCATTTAGGTACCCAAGTTATCATAACATATGAGTTCACATCCAACCGATGCAGATTTAGCACACACATAATTTATGAGTTCACGTGAATTCAATAATATTTACTCAAAACTTATAAAGAATAAAAAAAATTAATAATATTTATAAATATTTGAATACGAATTGAGTTATTACTGTTATATATTAACATGAGATTATCTTAGAAATTCAAATACTTCAAATTTTGGATTTGCACGTATATCAAATGGCTAATGAATAATTTATTTATTTTTGAAATTTTTTGGTCAGTCAATGGAGCTTTTTTTTCTTATTACAGTAAAATCTCATTAAATTAATACTCGATTAATTAATAACCTCTCTAAGATAATATTTTTCTCCGGTCCCGACTTGGGCCAATGAAAAAAATTACATATTTCGATAAGATAATATATTTTCAGAAGACTCCTATATAAATATATATGATCCCACAAATATTATAAATTAATAATTTTTAAAAGTACAAATATATCTAAGACAATTTAGTGAAATATGATTTAATTGTGTTATGTTTTTTGTTAAAATTTAAATAATCTTGTTGAAGATCATCTTAACTTTTCTTATTGCATCCAAAAGTTTCGGACAATCTTTTTGAACGGCACCATAAAATTGTGATGAGTTCTAAATGTGATAAGTGTTTCCTTATGTGTAACTGGTTCCAATGGTAATCTTCAACTTTATCATCAACATTATTTTTTTCAATGGGATCCACAATTTCTTCTAAGCTCTAGACCTCTGAACATTATTATTTTCACCCATCGAACAAGTTATTAATGTCCATTTTATTGCGGTAACCGAGATTATTAATCCATGATCTTAAGTTCATGAATGACGTTTTCACAAATGGATTCATTTAAATTCTCTGAGATTTAATCACCGAACATTTGCGGTGTCGAAACACCTTTAAATTAATAATATTAATTTAACGATTAATTAATACATCTACAAAATAATAATATATTATGGTCCCACTTATATTAATTTAGTGAGATTTTATTGTATTTAGTCAATGGTGTTTGAATAATATATTTCAAAAATATTATCGTGTTTGAATAATATATTTTATATGTCAATCTATTTCTATGAATTATTACTATAAAAGAAGAGTGAATAAAATTCACTCTTCTTTTGACACATGGCACCAAAAAAAAGGAGAGG